TGGTTCTCCGTGAGTAGCATTAAGTTGAGGGAATAAGTATACAATGGTATTTGTTCCCTAAGAAAGCCTCAGATTTAAAATTTGGGTTTGCATCCTCTTTTGTGGAGCAACATGAGGAACTGCACCAGCTGTTTTACCTTGTGGTTTAAAAAGAAAAACAAGTGTATTAGGGAATTCCTAAGCTGAACCACAGGAAAACTTGGGGTTGTGTCTATTCACATTAAAATTAAGATAAACTTCCAACTTGTTGTCATGCCAAAGGCGTTTTGTTCTGTACCTGCACATGCTTCCATGATTTTCTTCAGAGGCCCTTGAGTGTACATTAGTCCAACAAGAATCCCAGCCAGATGCCCGGCGAAGGAAGTCCTAGGAGGGAAGGAGACCCTTTGTGAGTGTTTGTTCTGCTGCTGATTAGAGACATTCTGTCTTCTCATTAGCCCAGTGCATGTCAATTAGTCACAGTCTGCAAGCTTTGTTCCACATCACGTTTTTTATGCTGAGCAGCATTTAACTCAGTCCAAAGAACAGCATTTCCTACCTTAAAAAAAAAGTACAGTGAATAACAACCAGCACTTGCTTAAAATGCAGCGCCCCTCCCTGACCAAGAGAAGTGGGTTGGCTTCTCCAGAGCGGTGGAAGCATTCTGTCAAGACAAGCCATTATATTGCTTCCAGTTTTTCTTTGTACCTCTTATCACAAAACATAAATGAAATCGGTTTTCTCTGTTCAGAACTAAATCTGGAATTGTCCAGCCATTGTGAGGGATGATGGCTATCTGTGCTCACAGGAGGGCCAACCGCTGCAGTTTTCTAACCCACTGACTTAGGGAGGCAGAGAGCAAATGAAAACTTAGCAAAGAGATTGAGGGACCCACATGCACCCCACAAAGTTGTCTTCATATGTATCTTTCAGTCACTCGGCAAAAAGAAACAAAAATGTAAACTTCACATTTGAAAGATGAGTTAGGGCATTAAATTGGTTCCACTCTTCTTAAACTAGCATCTAAGATTGTAGCGATTATGAAATTTATTTTCAAATGTACATTTCTACCCAAGTGGTAACACTCCTAGGGGGTCTGCGGTACTTGCAGGCTGGTTGTGGGGCTGGGGACTGCCCCGTGGAGTTCACTGGCTGAACAACCTCCCAGTCTGAGTTTAAGAAGTTACTGGAGATTCATTTTCTTGACAATCTCCACATTTTACCACACAGATGCGTCCGTATACAATGAGTTCTTCTCAAAGCACCTGACCTCAATTTCCAGCTGCCTGCCACCATCTAGGCACGTGTGCATGCACACAACGTCCATCTGCACCTTAAACCAGCCTTTTCTGGGGTCCCATGCCCATGTCCCCTTTGCCACGCCTCTCACACCTACCCCAGCCTTTCCATTCCTACCCCACAGCTATGCCTCTAGCCCTTACTGGTTCTTGCCTGAACTATTTGGAAAAGTCCAGCATGGGGCACAAGGTGAGCCCTAGATGCATATATGTTGAATGAGCAGAAGAATAAATGGAAGAAAATCATCCAGCTGGCTCCCTGCCGGACAGCTCTTGCTCTCCGAAGCATCCAACACACTGTTATCAGGTATCCTCCTGAGACAGGGGGCAAGGCACATCATTGGTCATTGCTATCCTGGGAAATCCACTGGCTCTCGCAGAACATTCTAGTATGCATTCAAGCCCTTCAAACACTCGGCTTTGCCCACCTCCTCCCTACTTCCTCATTGCCTGCAACACCCATTCCCACACACCACACGGTCAGATGTCCCAAATGCTCACAGGTGACCACAGGGCTAAGGCCAGCAGCACCTCTGTCATAAGAATCGTGCCCCAGTTGAAGTCACTCTTTCCTTCTACTGCCTTCCCTTGGAGCTGTTGCTTCTACCTCTACTACAGCATGCATCCAGTCTGCCAGGTGCAAAGTGTTTACACGTTTGCCTGTCTGCCTGTCTCTCTCTCTCTCTCTCTCTCTCTCTCTCTCACACACACACACACACACACACACACACACACACACACACAAATTCCCTGAGGGCAGCAATAGTATCTTATCTATATATCATGCAATATTAGAAGCTAAAAAAAAAAAAGTGAAGCAAATGAATACATTTCAACAGCCTAGAAGAGTGACCCCTCATTCCAGAAAAGGGGGGGGGGGACTGAAAGTTGTCAAGGAGCCTAATGTAAACTCCCAGAGCACAGTGGTTCTTGTGGGTTTTGCATATGTATCCCCAACACCTGGGACAGTGCCTGGCACATGAATGTATTGAATGAATGACTCAAGTGTGCCAGGATTGTTTCACCAAGAGCATCATAAGCAGGCGAGTTAAAACCACTCAATCTTCAACTCAGAGAGCTCACGGAGCCACGGTTGTGACAGAGCTGAGTCTGACATTCAGTAACCTACACAGAAGACTCGGAGTCAAACCCAAACTGCCAACTACAGCAGCAGCCTACAGGAACAAGGTCCTGAAACACCAAAGTAAGATGGTGCTGAGTAATTTTCATTGTCTCAGAGCTATGGAAAGACTTCTTGGCTCTCAGGAAATGAATAAACAGTGAGGACGGAACACTTGCAAAAGAGGGACAAACAGAAACCTCGTGGACAGAGTAACACTGCTGCTTGTTCCCATCAGCCGATTAAACGACACAATTGCTCAAACAAGCACCCACATACGTTCACACATGCCGAAAGCCACAGCGTGTACACATACACACCACACACACACACACACACACCATTTCCCCAGGAGAGCTATCATTTCCATCAAATGTATCTACTTCACAGTATGTGCAACCTGATAATAAAAATATGGGGTTGGACACTTGGTTTCTCATTTCCTGGGAAGAATAGCATGAACTATGTCTCTGTGTAAAGTATGCTTTACTTTAGCTTCCCCCCAACCCCACCAAAAAATTGTACATGAGGGACACATTCCAAGCCTCCCAGTGGTTGCCTAAAATCGTGGATAGCACCAAACCCTAGATAGACTGTTTCTTTGACGTGATAACCGAGATGGCTACTAAGTGACTCCCAGGCAGGGAGTGCGGATATACTGGACAAAGGGATGATTTACATCCCAGGCGGGACAGGGCAGGACCATGCGAGATTTTTCATCAAGTCACTCATAATGGTGTGCAATTTAAAACTTAGGAACTGCTTATTTCCAGAACTTTCCATTTAATATTTTTGGACTATAGTTAAACGCGGGTAACTGAAACCACCAAAAGTGAAACTGTGGCTAAGGGAGGAACTACTGTGCTCACTTTATTCTGTGATATGTTCAGGCTCAATAAACCCTACACCTAGTTCTAAAACAGGTAAAGAAAGGGGTGGATTGAGAGATAACAAAGAAGTGGCCAGGGTCTATTGTTTTAAAAAATAGTAACTGCAATTTAAATGAAAAGAATAAAAAAAAAATCAGTATTTTTGAAACTTTTAAAACCAAACTTCATGGTGAATCATACAGATATAGAATAACACGGAGGAAAATTTCAACCTAAAACCTCAACCTATTAGATAATTAGTCTTGAATCTCATTTACAATTTAGAGTATAATACAGTGAAATGAATTTCTTATCTCTCTAAATGGTTTTCAGAAGTTTGAGTTATAATCTAATTGCCTTAATATAATTGTGAATGACTAGGGAAAGAAGGCTGGCAGATCAAAGAACACATTGCGTCACCCTCCAACATTCAGCATTTTCTACGAAAGTTCCATCTCAAAACATTTAGCGGTTCTTTTTTAGTTAAGCTCTATAAAGGTGTTCTTCTTTAAAATAAAAATAAGATTATGATCTTATTCAATCAAAACTGAGAATCTCTCAACATTACACCAAAAAGGAGAGAATTCCACCAATGTAAAAGGAAATGTAACTCATTTGAAGAGGTATATTAACTTTCTCCACGTTGTTGGTAATCATTCGACAAATCACTTCCCTCTAAGTCCTGAGAGGGAAAATGGACCTGCAGAGGGTACAAGGATTGAACTGGGAGTGTGGCTCCCCAGACCTAAGATTTGGACAGTTTGTCTGACCCTACAGGGTGCTGCAGAGGCAGAAGGAGACCCTGGCTGGCCTTTAGGGGAAGAAAACATCTGAGTGTTCTGATCAGCGGCTGGGATCTACTTTCAAATGTAACAGCATTAAAAACAGATTTGTTGTTACGATCATAATTAAACATGCTAAACAAGTTTTGAAGTTTGTGGTCTCTGAGTAGGCCCATGGCTTCACTCTGTTCTCAGCTATACGTGGAAGCTGACATCCTAAGCAGCATTCGAGGAAAACCTTGCTTCTAGGGGCAACTTCCTCTTGATCTTACTAGGTTTTGGGCTAGGATTGAGGATTTAGTTAAAACTTGCCATCCTCTATCATAATTAAGAGTAATTCCTCAGGGACAAGACCACCACTGTATTCAACTGTATCCAAGACCACCCCAACTGCAGCAAATGGCCTGACACTAGCCCTCAATAAGTAACTACTGAATGAGTGGAAAAGTGGAATTTACTCATAAAATACCCATATCTAAAATAAAACAATCGTATTAAAAAAACACAAGTTACATTTGTATGTCTTCTTTGGAAAAATGTCTATTCACGTCCTTTTGCCTGGTTTTTAATTGGGTTACTTGTTTTATTGCTATTGAGTTGTATGAATTCTATATATATTTTGGACATTAGTCCTCGATTGGACATATGGTTTGCAGATATATTCTATTCTGTAGGTTGCCTTTTCATTCTGTTGTTCTCTTTGATACAAATGCGCAACAGGTAAAAAGCTGTTGAAAAGCTGCTCACCAGCACTAATCACCAGGGAAATGCATATCAAAACCACAATGAGCTATCACCTCACACCTGCAAGGATGACCATTATCAAAAAATTGAGTGATTTTAGTGTTGGCAAGAATGTGGATAAAAGAAAACCTGACTAGAGCATGGTACACTGTTGGTGGGAATTAAATTGGTACAGGCATTATGGAAAACTGTATGGAGTTTCCTCAAAAAATCAAAAAATAGAACGACCACATGATCCAGCAATTCCACTTCTGTGCATGTATCCAAAGGAAATTAGTATTTCAAAGAGAGATGAGCACTCCCACGTTCATTAGATCATTATTTGCAATAACCAAGATATGCAAACAACCTAAGTGTCCATCAACAAACGGATAAAGAAATGTGGTGTACACACACACATGCACATGCACATGTAATGGAATATTATTCAGCCTTAAAAATGAAAGAAATCCTGCCATTTCTTTCATCTATGGATGAACCTAGATGACATTGTCCTAAAAGAAATAAGCCAGACACAGAAAGACAAATACTGCATGATCTCACTTATATGTGGAATCTAAATAAGTCAAATTCA